CCGCCTGCCCCGCAAGGGCAACTACGCCGAGCGGGTGGGAGCCGGCGCGCCGGTGTACCTGGCGGCGGTGCTGGAGTATCTGACCGCCGAGATCCTGGAGCTGGCGGGCAACGCGGCCCGCGACAACAAGAAGACGCGCATCATCCCGCGCCACCTGCAGCTGGCCATCCGCAACGACGAGGAGCTCAACAAGCTGCTGGGTCGCGTGACCATCGCGCAGGGCGGCGTCCTGCCCAACATCCAGGCGGTGCTGCTGCCCAAGAAGACCGAGAGTCACCATAAGGCCAAGGGCAAGTGATTTGATAGGCATCTGAGCTTCCGGTAAACGTTTTCAATCCTAAAGGCTCTTTTCAGAGCCCCCCACCGTTTCAAGGGAAGAGCTAAATCACAGTTGTAGATAGGGAAAAGCACTAAGGTAAGAATTTTTTTCAATAAGCGGGGAAACTAAAATCTATTACTGCTTCCAGGCTTTTGCAGGAAACTTGAGCTAAAAACTCGTTTTACCTGTAGGAAGTGTTTCGACCAATGGCTTAATGTTTGCATGTAGCATACGATATCCACACGAAATGTTCTCTATTCTTTGTATTTTGTAGGGTCGAGCGATTGACCGTGGTTAGTAACGCCCATCTACAGCTTATAAATTCAGAAAAGCGCTACGGTCTGAAAACTCTTTTCCAGTTCACTTAACATTTCGGAGGTTCTTGAAGGCACACTTATTGAGCCGGGATGGTGATTTTATTGATCTGTTCCCTGGCTGGACCGTCTTAGGTTTTTATTCTCGTCTTAGGCTGCAAGCAACCTGTCTTCCCTAATTATGTAAGAGTTCTAGGTTTTGCTAGTGTTAACGTTAAAAGTATGATCTGAAACTTAAGCACAGCCTTGGAAGGGGCCTCTGGAAAATTGGTTTTCCGGAGATGATTCAAGGTAGGTAGCTCAAAGCAGACTAAATGTAGACTTGAGTGGCAGGTCCTCTCTCCCATTCGCCGGTTTTGAGATTCGAGCCCATTTCTAACCTGGGGGACTCAGTTTTGTCATTTGTAAATTTGGTGATCATGCCGATTAATTAAATGAGTTAACGCCCCTAACCTAGATAAGTGCTTAATATTAAACGAAATGGAGTTAAAGCTGTAAATACTTTTTAAGAGGTTAAACGTGTAGATTCCCAACGCAGCCGGGAAAGCAGAAGAGTTGGGCCCTAGGCTTCCTCAAAGCCTTTACTAATAAGGAATCTGGTAACAGTTGCTCCAACCACAAGACGTAGCGACCTGAGACGGTGCAAAAATCTCTAGGGTCCTATTTTTCTGGGTTGATTGCGTTTCACCAAGTTTTTCTTTCGGATGATTCGGTTTGTTCTTTGATGGGGAATGAGTGGGCCAGGAAGCCTAGTGGGCTAAGGCTTGCCCACGCCTCGGAACCAGCTTGCTCGGACTGGCCAAGCACACACAGCCCCTTAAATGCTCCTGGAGCTCCGCTGAAGCTTGTGGATTCGTTTTGAGCATTCAAATCCGAGTGTATGCCGGGAGAGGTTTTTATTTATTTTTTTCTCTCAATCCAAGCAGAAGCTGGTTCCTGCGGAAGCACCTCCCACTTTCCAGAGCTGGCATCGATGTCGGGCGGTCTTAAGGCAGCCTCTTCCCCTCCTCCTTTCCTCCACATCCGTCTTCCCTAGCAATCATCCTCAAGGAAAAGGATCGGGTGTCCAGGAGTTTGAGGAAGGAAAAGTGGCGGAAAAGCAAGTGGTCGCCTTTATGGCCACACGTTAGGATTTCCTGAGGAGCTCTTAAGTTAATTATGGGCAGCGGGGCTGAGAATCATCACACTTGGGGGAGGTCTGGCCTCACGGAGCTCTGGGCCAGGGGCCGCTGCGAGGACCGGATTCTTTCCGCCCAGGATTTACTGTATGTGGGAGAAGTGGGATTCTTTGGTCGGAATTGCGTCATATGAGCCTTGGGATCCTTTTCACTAACTTGCCGAGTTGCGTTTGAACGCAGTTCCTATACTTAGCAGGTGTGTGGCTTCCCCTAGGTGCTTCACCTCTCCCTGCCTCCATCTCTTCGTGTGTGCCGTTGTTCACCTCGCCATGAAAAGAGCCCTGCTCAGCAGTGTGGGTTCTGAAACTGGAACACAGGCTGATCAAGAGAAATGGCTACTTAGGCATTTACTGTGTGCCAGGCATATTTTTATGCTCTTTCAGGGTATTAATTCATTTAATCCAACAATCTTGGAGATAGATTCTATCCCTATTCCGAACTTAGAGATGAGGAAATTGAGGAACAGAGGTGAACAACTTGTCTAAGTCCCAAGGCCCAGAAGTCACTACTTCTAACTGCTGGCTATTCTATAACCACCCCTCCCTGAAAGGCTGTTATTAGAAAAATGGAAACAGTTAAAACAAACAAAAAAAACCCAATGCATAATGGGTAAATTATGTCTACATACCAGAATTTTATTAATGACATCGTAAACTGAAGACTTTTAAGGAAGGAGGACAGGTAATTTTCCTCAAAACCTACCTAAAAAAAAAAAAAGAGAGATAAATCTTTACAATGTGTTAGCACTGCCTAGAAAAACGAAAAAACAGTTTACTTTTGATTTAAGGTATGACAGTAAAACAAGGGGGACAAGTAAGAAAATTCTTTGGAAAGGAGCTACTTAGACTTGATAAACTGATTTATTGTGGTGAGTGAAGAAAGGGTAGAGGAGACTTGAGTCTGAATTCTCTCCTCTGGGATCCAGTAACAAAACTTTGTTTTAAATTATTTAGTACGGAGTGATATGTTGTGTTAATTTTGTTAACCTTTATATTTTCATCTTCAGCACATCTCCTGAAGGTCAAGGGCCCCATCTTATTATATTGTTCATAGTCAGCATAAATAAACCCTGGCATACAACAGATACTTGACAACTGGGCATTGAGTAAATGGTGAGCTGAATTAATGTTACTGGGCAACCAAGAAACACATTGTTCCAGAGGGTCAGTGTATTACCAGGGAAGACATCAAGTACACACCAGACAAACAGGCTGCTAATTGCATGTTGTCTTTCCAGTAGAAAATCTCTTCTGAAAATCCAATTCATATTGGCAACTTGTTTGGGGAACTTCAGAGAAACACAGAAGGTGCCAGATGACCACTTCTTACCTAAGAGGTACGACTAAGAGCCTGCTCCCCAAGCAAAGGACATTCCTCATGAATCTGTCCTAGCTCCCCATCTCCAACATGCCTCCTTACCTTCCACTTTGAAATGTCACTTAATATCCCAAAGCCCTAATTACTTATGGGAAAAATTCTCTAGTGAGCAATAAACTCTGAGCAGCTTCAGTTGATTTCCAGCCCTTGAGCAGGTCTCTCTCTATCTTACCTCAAGGGTCCTAGAATGGACTATATAAATTGGAGCAAGTTGAAGAGAAAAACCCAGGTCTTCCAATTACTGAAGGCACCAGGACACTAGACAAAAGTTCATCTCAGGGATTTACTGTGAGATATGAGGCTGAGATAGAGTAATTATCTAGATATACACAGTACCCTTAACAAAGCAGGTTAAGTTTAACACAGTATGACCAGTTGTAATATTCCTTTTTTAATTTCCCAATAATCTTCGTAGTAATATATTCTTTCCTTTTATCCATCTGTCATCTCCACTAGCTTTCTATATGTTTTTTTGTGTCATTTAAACTCTGTTTTACACATATTATAAGGTTTAAGGCCAGTCGTAAAAATATGCATACGGGTATTTTAAGGTTAGATTTTGGTTATCTTCTAAGGATTTGTCATCTGTTGATTCTAAATTCTAAGTTCGTATATTCCTGTTAAGTGTAATGTATGTATGTTGGAAGATTATTAGAACTTAACTGAGGATTCCCCATACGTACTAAAACTAAAAATAAGGGCTCATATGTAGCCACAGGATTCTCTCTTTTCTATTTTCTTCCAATATGGTAAAATTGTATGAAACCAAATAAGATTAGTATCATGAGGAAATTTTCTAGAAGACAGCCATCACATATATTTACACCTGGAAAAGAAAACCATGCCATTAATAAATGGACAAGTCTATGAAAAAAGAATAAATAAATATAACCATTGTACCTTCCAGACAAATCGGAATGGCATTTCGACTTCAAAATGAAGTGAATCCTCAGGCCCTGAATTAGTATAGTTATATTTTTAAAAATCACAACTTTATTGGACTTCATTACATTGTAGTCGTTTGTTTGAGTTGTAGTTTGGGCAGGATGAAGTCAGTTTCTCTTTTTTTTTGTAATTACAACTTTTGCACATTGCTTATATTTGAGGCTTTTTCTGAAAAAAGCAAATGTGATAGCTTCTGACTCTTTGGTATATGGTGTTTGGCTGCCAGTTGGGGCCTAAACCTTTATCGTACTCTTTACTATCTGTCTTAGTTTACTCAGGCTGACATAACAAATTAGCATAGACTGGGTGACTTAAACAACAGGAAAAAAAAAATTTTTTTTAACACAAATTTATTTTCTCACAGTTCTGGAGTCTGGTCCAGGTGCCAGCACAGTTGGTTTCTGATGAGGCTCTCTTCCTGGCTTATTGATGGCTGCCATCTCACTGTGTGTTCACCTAGCCTTTCCTCCACACATGAGTGCAAAGAGCTCTGGTGTCTCTTTCTCTTCTTAAAAGGGCACCAGTCCTATAAGATTAGGGTCTTGTCCTCATAACCTCATTTAATCTTATTTATCTTTTAAAGGCTGCTGTGGATTGAATTGTGTCCCCCAAAGTTCCAGGTATTACAATTTAATCCTCACTGTGACAGTGTTAAGAGGATGAGTAATAGAATTATGGTAATGAAATGGTGGGGCTTTGAAGGGGTGTTTAGATTGTGAGAACCATGCTCTCATGAATGGATTAATCCATCAGTGGTTTAATGGTGGTCATAGGTGTGGTTCTGATGGCTTTAAAAGGAGAATGCGTGAGGATAGTCTCTCTCTGCTCAAGCCATCTCCCATGTGACACTCCGCATTGCTGTGTAGAGTCACCCTCAAGAAGAAGGTCCTCACCAGTTGTGTTCTCTGGACATTGGACTTCCCAGCCTCTGAAACCGTAGGCAATAAATATCGTTTCTTTACAAATTACTCAGTTTCAGGTATTTTGTTATAAGAAACAGAAACAGACTAATACAAAGGTCCTATCTCCAAATACAGTCACATTGGAGTTTAGGACTTCAATATATAAATTTGGGGGGACAGAATTCAGCCCCCAGAGTCTTAACTCATTCTAGCATCAATTCTAAAAGTCTAAAGTCCGAAGTGTCATTTAAATATCATTTAAGTCAGACATGGGTAAGGCTCAAGGTATGATTCATCTTGAGGCAAAATTCCTCTCCAGCTGTGCTCCTGAGAAACCAGAGAAGTTATGGGCTTCTAAAATATGTACGATGGTGAGACAGGCATAGGATGAACAGTCCTGTTCCAAAAGGGAAAAATAGGAAAAAGGAAAGGGGTGATGGATTCTAAGCAAGTCCGAAACCTTGTAAGTCAAATTCTCTTAGATCTTAAGGCTTTGAGAATAATCATCTTTGGCTTGAAGCCCTGCCTTCTGGGCCCACTAGTGTGTCAGTGTCTCCTCCATGGCTCTGTGGGTGGTCTCCTCCTTCTGCTCTGCCTAGAGCCCTGCCCCTTCTGTCTGGTGGGGTCCCACTTAGGGAGCTCTCTGTGAGAAACTCTCCCAGACAGCTTTGCAAGACATCCTTCAAAACTGAGGTGGAGTCAGCCCTGCTTACCCACTCTCACCTGTGCACTCTGAACCTGAGGTGGGTGTGACAGCCCTAATGGCTGAATTGCCTTTGGGTTCTTCTTCCCTTTTCTTGAAGAATAGTACATGTTCACAGCCAGATAACTCTATAATTCTGTCCTGTAGACTCCAAAAAGTTCAGTGACCTGTCTTTATTTCTTCCCATTTTCTGTCTACTTTAGTTCAAACTGGCAGTATTTCTGCTGTTATAATCGTATCTCTCTTCCTGGTTTCTGCTGAGATGGCTGATTAAGTCCATGATTCATACCCATCGTCTTCTTATCAAATGGTCGTTCAATCATACTTCTTTAAGAAAAGCTTTCTCGGTTTTTACAATGTGGACAGGCTGTGAATTTTCCAAATCTAAAAGTTCTGGTTTCTTTTTGCTTAGCAATTCCTTCTTTATTTAATTTTTAAAAAAATTTTGTATATATATTTTTAGCAATTCCTTCTTTAATTCATCTCTTTTCTGTTGCATTTTACTATAAGCAGTAAGGAGGATGCATATCACACCTTCAGTACTTTTCTTGAAAATCTCCTGTGCTAAATATCCAGTTTCATTGCTTATAAGTTCTATCTTCCACTAAACTTGAGAACAAAGTTCAGCCAAGCTATTTGCCACTTTATAACAAGGATCATCTTTCCTCCAGTTTGCAATAGCTTTTCCCTCATTTCCATCTGAGACCTCGTCAGAATGGTACTTACTATCCATATTTTACCTGACATTCTATTCACCATTATTTATGTATTACCTAGGAAAATGGAGCTGTCTCTCCAATTCTCCTCTTTTCTCTCTGAGCCCTCACCAGAATTGCCATTAAAATCCATATTTCTCCCAACAGTCCTTTTACAGCAATTCGTTTTCTCTAGCATGACCTTGAAACTCTTCCAGCCTCTACCCATCATCTAATTCCAAAGCCACTTCCACATTTTTAGGTATTTGCTGCAGCAGCAACTCCCCTTCTTGGTACAAAAATCTTAGTCTACATGGGTTGCCATAACAAAATGCCACACACTGGATGGCCTAAATAACAGAAATTTATTTTCACACAATACTGGAGGCTAGAAGTCTGATTTCAAGGTGCCAGCATGATTGGTTTCTGGTGAGGCTCTCCTGCAGGCTTATAGGTTTATCTCACAGACACCAAGCAGATGAGCATGTCCATTCTGTCCTGTATTTGTTGATAGCCAGAGCTGAAAGTATAGGGCTCTTACTTTATGCCACAACAAATTGCCCTTACATTAAGCATTCATCTCAAAATGACCAGACTGTAGTGTGTTCTAAATTTTAGAAATGTGGAGCGTAGTTGTGGTCCCTATTTTTTACCCTGTTTCTTTAATGATTTTTATCAATACTGCCGCTTTAAAGACCACCTATATGCAACAAACCTCCTCTTTTACATTTCCAGCTCTGACCTTTTTCCTGAAATGCAAATATGTATATCTAAATTTTTATTTGACATTTTCAATTAGAACTTTATCAGCCCTCTCAACCTGAATTCTTCATGACAAGAGTTAACACTGTGCTCCCTAAGCCTGTTATCTTTTCCATTCCTTCCCAATTCAGTAAATGACACTACCATAAATCCTTTTACTCAAGCCAACATTCTAGAAGTGAGCTTTGCTGCCTTTCCTTCATCTTCACAAATCCAAGTTTGCAGTTAGTCATGTCACCTACACCTTCAATATATACCTTAATTCATTCTCCATACTCCTTACCGTGACCTTACACACCATTCATGACCACCTCTGGTCACTGTCTGCCTCTCTGATGTCATCCTCTTCATTCTGTTCCAGTTACACTGGCTTGTCTTCCCACCAAGCAGCTAAGCTCTGTTGCTTTGTGGAGTTTGTATTGTTGGTCTCATTCTCTGAAATGCCTGTCTCCTGACTTTTCTTCTCATTTTCACCTTTCAGGTCTCAGCTCTTTCTCAGACAGGACTATCTAAAATACTATTTGGGTGAATTAAAGATATAAAAATATAAAATAAAAATATCACCTAGCATTTTAGGAGAGCTTTGTATCATGTGTGTGTGTGTGTGTGTGTGTGTGTGTGTGTGTGTGTGTGTGTGTGTGTGTTTTGGGGACGAGGGTGTCATTATCAAGCAAGGAAGCACAAAAGCCATACAGGAAAGGATGCAGGCCACACAGGCCAAAAACTGGCTTAAGATACAATGTATGCAAAGAGAATAGGAGGCAGTGGGCAATAAATTGGGATAAATGATTTCCAAAACATTATCTACAAGTTTAAGGACCTCAATTTACAAAGAACTGAAAACTGTTAGGAAAAAGGCAAACAACGTCATATGAAAATGATTAAACAGGGTATTTTATATCCTTTATTAAATTGAAATGACCAATACATATGAAAAAAAAAAAAAAGAAATGTTAACCTTCCTAGTAAACAGTTATGCATATAAGAAGCGACAAAGGGTTACCATTTCTCACCTACAAATAGACAACTACTAAAACTAGTAAGAATCAGGGCTGCTGAAAATGAAAAAGAATTGCCACTATCATGTAATCAGCTGGTGTGTCTGACCAAATCAGTGTATCCCCTTACAATGTCTACTCTATGATAAGGAAACCTCACCAGCTTTTACATTCTAATACTGGGATTATTCAGTTAACACTCTCATCTATAGGGTGAGTTTGTTGAAGAATTGTGTCTTTCTTATCTCTGTACCCTAGCACTTCACAACTTTCCCATGTAATAGATCTTCAGTAAATACTCAGAACAAATAATTGGAGTGAATATGTTGACATCAAAACATATTTGTGCAGAAATGGAGTAGTCACCATCTAAGCTGCATGGACTTGTGGTTTATTCCTGGGTTATGTACCATTTTAGCCACTACTCAGTCTTAAATTCCAGTTGCTAAATTCAGAGGGATATATACATGACTGATCCTAGAGCTGTGCTGTCCAATACAGTAGACATTAGCCAATGTGATATTTTAAATTTAAATTAAATAATTAAATTAAAAATTTATTTCCTCAGTCTCACTAACCACATTTCAAGTTGCTAGTAGCTACTGTATTGGACAGCATGGATAAAGAATGTGTCTGTAATCACAGAAACGTCTATTGGATAGCATTGGGCTAGGTACTTCTTGTCTGTCTGGGATAATCAGTTAAAGTACACTTAACTAGCTTCCTCCAGGTGGCATCTAAGGATAAACTTGCCAGATAAAATACAGGACACTCACTTAAATCTGAATTTCAGATAATTGTTTTGGTATAAGTCTGTCACCCCAAATATTGCATGAGACATACTATACTGAAAAAACAAAAACAATTATTGTTTATCTGAAATTCAAATTTAACTAGACATTCTGTATTTTTATTTGCCAAATCTGTCAACCCTACCTGAAGAGAAAAATTGGAGAATCTTCCCAGGAGAGTTGGGTGCTTTTACCAGGGGGAGGTTTTATGTAAGTAATTGAGAAAGGCTTGCACATGGAGAGAAGTTAACTCGTGAGGAAAGGAACTGTAAGTTTTGTGTGTGTGCCAGGAAGGCTGAGGAGGTGGTTCGCAAATAAATTTACTTTGATTTCTCCTTTCCTTTAGGTTTCAAAAAGCTGCTCATCACAGAGAGATGCCAAGATCTTGAGTATCAGCCAAACCCACCAATTCTCAGAAAAAAATGGATGGATGGTCTCAACATTCCTACATCACTGATGGATTCTGCACCTGAAAATTTTTTCCTATTAAAAACTTACTCTAGATTTATTTATTTGTGTTAACATGTTTGCATTGGGAATAAGAAGCGTAGATGGGGGGAAAGAATATTATTGAGTACAAAATATATATAAATTTAGCACAAAATGTATCTAACTTTTGAATCAGTGGGGCCGGCCCGTGGCTCACTTGGGAGAGTGCGGTGCTGATAACACCAAGGCCACGGGTTTGGATCCTATATAGGGATGGCTGGTTCACTCACTGGCAGAGCTTGGTGCTGACAACACCAAGCCAAGGGTTAAGGTCCCCTTACCGGTCATCATTTAAAAAATAAAAGTAAGTAAATAAATTTTGAATAAGTAATACATTCATGGTGTTCAAACAACTTGAAATCACAAAATATGTATTGGGAATCCACCCCTCAACTTCCCTGTAGGTGATCACTTTTTTTCCTTGTATATCCACCCAGTGTTAATTGATGCTGATGTTAGTCAAAAATGAATATACAAGGGTATTTCAAAAAGTTCGTGAAAAGATTCGTATTATCTTTTAATTGTATTTTTCCACAAAGTTCTTGAAGTACACTTGTCTGTTTTATCTTTCTGCTTTTCATTCTTACAAGGTAGCAGACTTTACACACAGTTGTCCACATGTTCTTTCATAACAATATATATTGGAGGACTTTCCATACAAGAACACACGGAACTTCCCATACACAGTTGCATGATACTGCATTTGCAAATGCATCGTAATTTATGTAACCTGGCTCCTGTTGGTAGACACTTAGGTTGTTTGCAGTCTTTTGCTATAAAAACAATTCTGGAATGATTAACCCTGATTCACACAAAATTGAAATTGCTCTCGTATTCTGCTGGGATGGTGAAAAGTGAACTGAAATTCAAGTTACTCTTGGGTTGGGCCGGCCTGGTGGCGCACTGGAGAGTGTGCCACTTGGGAGCATGGCGGCGCTCCCGCTGAGGGTTCGGATCCCATGTGGAGACCGGTTCCTGCTCACTGGCTGAGCGCGGTACGGGCGCAACACCAAGGGTTGCGATCCCGTTACTGGTCAGTTAAAAAGACAAAAAGGAAAAAAAAAAGTTACTCTTGGGTTGAGCTTAAGGTTTATCTCCTTAAAAACTATGTGGCTGATCCAATCAAGGTGGTGGAATAGATGGTCCGCAGCATCACTCTCTCCTATAAATCAACCAAATTTACAACTACAAAAATGTAACATCAGTCAAGCTGGGGCTGCTGGAGCTCAGTGGAAGAGGAGGAGAGACCTACGGAGTTCATGAAGGCCGGAGAAACTACGATGAGAGAAAGAAAAACATGCTCTGAGCATTTCGGGCCGGGGCTGCTTTAAGGCCGGGGCTGCTTTAAGGCTCGAGCTGCTGAGCAAGTGGAGCAGGAGCCAGCAGAAGCCGCAGCTGTGCCCTTCAGATGGAGTTGCTTGGAGGCAGCAAGGGAGAAGAGGGCCTTGGTGGCCCCCAGGACAGCAAGATCACTAATAGAGTTCACGTGGACCCACGCAGGAGCGAGGAGCCAGAACAACTGAAAAAAGGGAGTCACTCAGAGGCTGGTGAGTCATCACAAGGGACCGGTGCAGGGCCCGTCCCATGGGAAGTGTTTGCAGCATGGGTGATGGGGGAGATGTGCCCACCAGGGGAACACTGGGACACAGCAAGGACAGCTGATCTGCCCCCCAATCAGCACAGGATCACTCAGAGGAGACTGGTCAGGAATGCAGAATTGCATGGGGTGCAGTCCGATGAAAAAACTCAGGCCCAGATCAGAGTTTCTACACTACCGAGGTGCACTGAGTATCTGGAGAGCTGGAAGTACCTATAAGGTCAACCATTAAACCCTGAGCTGCACAAAAAGTTTTTCCTAGAAAAGCAGCAGCAAAGCAGCAATTTACCTCAACCACAGAGCTCAAGTACTGGTTCGTACAAGAAGTTCCCCTGTGTTAGAAGCAAAGGACAAAAAATTAGTTCCAGCCCAGGCACACCACCAGCACCTTGGGGCCTGCCTAGGAACTGGAGGCTTGGATCTGGGGACTGAACCCCACTCCCAGGTAAACTGTGCCAGTGTGTTGGAGCTAGCCTGGGGACCTGAAGCATGGAGAAGGGGACTGCACCCCTCTCCCACAACCAGGCATACCACGCCAGCACCTTGGGGCCTGCCCAGGAACCCGAGGCAAGAAGAAGGGGACTGGACCACCCTCCCACAACCAGGCACACTGCACCAGTGCCTCAGGGCCTGCCCAGGGACCTGAGGCATGGAGAAGGGGACTGGACCTCTCTCCCACAAACAGGCACACCAAGCCAGCACCTTGGGTCCCACCCAGTGACCCGAGGCATGGAGCCAAGAACCAGACCTTCCTCCCACAACAAGGCACACCATGCCTGTTCCTTGGGGCCCACCCAGGGACCTGAGGCAAGAAGAAGGGGACTGGACCTCTCTCCCACAACCAGGCACAAAATGCCAGCACCTCGGGGCCCACCTGGTTATCTGAGGCATGGAGAAGGGGACCGGTCCCTCCTCCCACAACCAGGCACACTGCGCCAGTACCTCGGGGCCCGCCCAGGGACCTGGGACATGGAGAAGGGGACTGGACCCCTCTCCCACAACCAGGTACATGGTGCCAGCACCTTGGGGACTGTTCAGGGACCGGAGGCATGGAGAAGGGAACCAAACACACCTCACAACCAGGCATACCACCATTGCCAAGGAACATACCAAAAACAGCACCTCCAAGTGGGTGGCCCACCACAGCCACCACAATAACCATGGCTGCTGCAAAAGTGGCTAGATGCCACAGCCACCACGCAGATGGTCCGCCAACCACTGGAGTGCATTCACACAAGAAGAGTCACCAGCAGAGACGAAGAAAAGAAGAGGATGTCTCTTTCCACAAAGTCCATTTCAGAGTGACCGAAGAAGCATCTGCTCTATGATAATATTGGGGGACCTGATCACATCTCTCAGCATTGGACAGATCATCTAGGCAACAAGTTAACAGAGTAACCATTATTCTTTCAGGAGAGAAGAAACCTAGGGCAGTTCGAGGGTGGAGGGGGAGGGAATAGGGGAAGGGGAGAGATTGGACAAGGGCTATAAAGAATAATTACGATTTGTAACAATATATATGCTAGTAATATTGATTTAATCAACATATCTCAATGTTCAACCCTCAAAATATTTATAATCGATTTTGATTCAATAAATATAATAAAAAAAAAAACTATGTGGCTGTTGCCAGGTTAGTCATTTTGAACCTATATTTCTTTATCCATAAAATGGAGATAATACCTATCTTAAGTGACTATGAAAATGAAAAAAGATTGTGTTCATGAATTGTTTGAAGTGCTGAAGAACAGAAATTATTTGATTTTTAACACCATTTTTTTGTGAGAGTTATATCTAACACTTTGTGACAGAAGCAAATTCCCCCAAATTCCTGCCTGTCATGAGGAAATAAGGGGTGCAAAGGGGGGTGGCGGTTATCTGTCTAGAACACCACCCTGGTTAATTGCCATTTCCTGCCCTCCCTGCATAGGAATTAGAAAACACACCCTCCTAACCTGCCACTCCCCTCCTGCCTTTTACTCTCCCACCTGCATTCCAGGTTAGGTTTTAAGAATATCTCCGCTACTGTATTATAATCTCTTTGTGATGGGGGCTAGGGTCTTGTTTGGCCCACTTCTGTATTCGCAGCTCCCAGGATGGTGCTTGATATTGCCTGGAATGTAGCAGTCACTCAAGAAATAGCTGATGAATTTATGAGGCCCTCTCTGGGTGGAGATTTAAATTCTGACCCTGAATTTCCAGGAGCAAGTGGGAGAGTCATCCAATCTCACAGGCTGAGTTAAAAGAAGGGTACTCTCAATATATTCAAAGGAATGCCTGCACAATAAATATATAAAAAGTAGTTTTTGTGTTTGTGAACACACACACACACACACACACACACACACACACACACACACACACACACACACATAGACATACAGTCAGATGCTCTGAAAAGATGGGAATCTAGAGCTAAAATACTTGGGCTTGTGTTTCGGCTCTGCCATTTACCAAGTGCCTGACTAGGGGTTAGTCACCTGCCATCTCTGAAGATCAGGATTAACATCTGTAAAATCAGATAATAGCACCTCCCAGAGTTGTGAAAAACAGTCAAATGAGGTAGCACTCAGTTTCTTATAAAACCTAATATAAACACATGCAAGATTATATGAAGACTATCTATCCGTTCGTCTACCATCATCATCCCCAAATGTAGAAAAGTGAAAGCAGGAGAGGAAATTGAGCTTTCTGTCAAGGATATGATGACTTCCACCTGCAAAGATTGAGTAATGGGGGTTGTTAAGCCAGAAGGCTAACTGCTTCTGGCCTCAATTCATCCTTGTGCCCAGATGCAGCATCTGGAGGTGGCAACCTGGTAAATATGCCCACACCCCTCCCACCAAGTCTCCTCTGGGTTCAGAAGCAGCAGCCCCAGTGGAGTGGTCGGGCATTTCAAACCTGGCTGAGCCGTTTGTCCAGGAGCAGAGGCTCCCAAGACAAGGATGCTGCACGCTCTGCCCATTCTGCTTTTGGTTCAACTTGACTCCCTGCCTTTAGTGAGGATATAGAAAATTCATTCCTACTGGGTGCCTGAGCAACCTTGGCAGAGAAAAGAAAAATGAGGAAGGCCCTTAAGGAGAAGGGCTCTAGGTACATTGGCCCAGTGAGAGGAAAAAATAAATGAAGGGCAGAGTACAGAAGGAAACTTCCATTTCCTTTAGCTCAGTCCCTTCAGATTGCAGATGATGAGACTGGGGGCTCTGAACTAGCTGGTTTCCTGGATGTGTGCAAAAACAGTTCAGTGGTTGGTCCATGTTCACATACCAAGTTATATTTCTGCCCTTGATATTGTCATGCTCTAAGATCTCTAATTGAAAATCTATGTGTCATTTTGAATCCCTCCTTCCTTTCTACTGTGTTCAGTGTAACATTGGTAGCCTAAAATTGGCCATAATGGCAGTATTTAGAAGATGGGAATT